ATCATATGGTTTTTGTCCTTGGCTCTATTGATATAGTGTATTACGTTGATTGATTTGCATATGTTGAACCATCCCTGCATACCTGGGAGGAATCCCTCTGGGTCAGGGTGTATGATTTTCTCGATGATCTTCTGCATTCTATTTGCCAGTATGTTATTAAGGATTTTTGCATCTATGTTATTAGTGAGATTGGCATATGGTTCCCTTTTTCAGTTGGGTCTTTCTTTGCTTTGGAGATCAAGGTGATGCTTGCTTCCAGGAATGAATTTGGGAGTATTGCTTCCCTTTCAATTTCATTGAAAAGTTTCAACAGTAGTGGCGATAGTTCCTCTCTAAATGTCTTGTAGATTTCAGCAGTGAAGCCATCAGGACCCAGGCTTTTCTTAGTTGGTAAGTTTTTAATTACATTGTCAATTTCATTTATTGATATTTGGTTGTTTAGAATTGTTAGGTCTTCTTCATTCAATGTTGGTAATTCATATGTATCTGTGAATCTGTCCATTTCTTCTGTGTTTTCCATCTTATTGGCCTGTGTTTTCCATCTTATTGGCATATAGGTTCTGAAAGTAGGTACTGATGATCCTCTGAATTTCTGCTGGGTCTGTTGTAATTTCATCCTTTTCATTCTGAATTGCATGGATTTGGGCCCTTTCTTTTCTTTTTCTCATAAGGTCAGCTAAGGATTTGTCAATTTTATTTATTCTTTCGAAGAACCAACTCTTGGCTTCATTGATTTTCTGTATTGTTCTCTTAGTCTCCATTGCATTGATTTTTGCTCTGATCTTTATTAATTTCCTCCCTTGTAGGAGCTTTGGGTTTGCCCTGCTCTTCTTTTTCTAGAAGCTTGAGGTTCAGCATCAGGTTGTTTAATTGGGCACACTCTGTTTTCCTAATATGAGTACTCACTGCTATGAATTTCCCTTGTAAGACTGCTTTCATTGTGTCCCATAAATTCCAATATGTTGTATTGTCATTGTCATTTAATTGAAGGAACTCCCTGATTTCTTCTTTATTTTCCTCTGTATCCATTGGTTATTCAGAAGTGTGTTGTTCAATTTCCATGTGTTTATGAAATTTTTGCTGTTTCTTTTACTATTGATCTCCAATTTCATTGCACTATGGTCTGATAATAAACAGGGGATAACTTGAATTCCTTTGCACTTACTTTAACATGTTCTATGAGCGAGTATGTGGTCTATTTTGGAGAACGACCCATGTGCAACTGAAAAGAATCTGTATTCTGATTTTGTGGGGTGAAACACTCTGTAAACATCTGTTATGTTCTTATCTTCAATAATTTGATTGAGTTCTAGTATTTCATTGCTTTTTTTTTGTCTAGTTTATCTATTGTGACAATGGGGTACTGAGGTCTCCTCTACTATTGTATTAGTGCATATGTGACGTTTCATGTCCATTTTATATAGTTGGATGCACTAGCATTTGGTGCATAGATATTTATGATCATCATGTCTTCCGCTTGGATTGTTCCCTTTACAAGGAAGTAGTGTCTTTCTTTGTCTCTCTTAATCAGTGTTGGTTTGAAATCCACTTGATCTGCGAAGAGGATAGATACTCCTGTGTTTTTTCAGGTTCCTGTGGCATTAGTATTGTTTTCCACATTTTAACTTTCAGTCTGTGAGTTTCTTTTTGAATTAAGTATGTTTCTTGTATGCAAGCATATTGTTGGATCTTGCTTTTTGACCCATTCTGGCTGTCTGTTTGTTTTGATTGGTGAATTGAGACCATTAACATTGATGGTTATAACTAATACATACTGACTTATTGTCATGACTTTTTCTTTTTGTTGGATTCTCCCCCTTTACATTTAATTTCTTGTTGCACCCAATGGATTCATTCTGCTGGGTTTCCTGGGATTGTGATCCTCGTTTTCTTTTCCTAGGATATTGTTTGAAAGTTTTTGGAGTGCTGATTTGGTATTTATGAAGTTTCTTAGGTGCTGTTTCTAATGAAAGTATGTTATATATCCAACAATTTTGAAAGATAGTTTTTCAGGGTACATCAAGCTGGGTTGGAGGCTATTTTCCTTTAGGGGTTGGAATACATCACTCCAAGCTCTTCTTGTCTTGAGGGTTTGCATTGAGAAGTCTGCTGTGATTCTGATGGGCTTACTTTTGTATGTGATTTGTTTCTTTTCCCTAACTGCTTGTAGAACTTTGTTCTTCTGTTGGGTTTCTGGAATCTTAACAATTATATGCCTATGTGTAGATTTTTTTTTTGATCAAGGTTAGTTGGAGTCCTGTATGTCTCACTTATCTGTATGTCAGGTTCTTTTCCCCTGCTTGGGAAGTTTTCTGCTATTACTTCTGTGAACAGTTTTTTATGTCATCTGCACTCTCTCCTGTTTCTTCATTGACTCCAATCAGTCTTATGTTATTCTTCTTTACATTGTCTAGCAGCTGCTGGATTGATTTCTCTTGGTCCCTTACAATTTTGAAGCAGTTTTTCTTTTCTTGGTCACTAATTGCAATCTTATCTTCTATATCTGAAATTCTGTCCTCACATTGGCTCATTCTGCTATGTAGACTTTCAGTGGAGTTTTTAATCTCCTGGAAATCTTTTTGCAATTTTATGAATTCCATTTGTTTCCTATGTTAGGATTCCATCATGTTCCTCAGCTCCTCTCTAGATTTATTAATTATGTCTTGCACTATGAGCACAACCTCTGCTGCTATGTAAGAAATTTTTTCTGATTTTATTTTTTCCATATCCTCTTTTGTTGCCAGTTCAGGGAGTCTAGGTGGTTGAGTATCAGTATGTTCCATCTCATTTCACTTTGGGGTTGCTGTAGGTGATCCGGAAGTCTGGTTTTGAGACTTGTTTATGTGTCTTCTCATTTCAATGGGATTGGGTAGTGTGCTACTGGCACCTGAACTGCTCACCTCCTCTGCACTGGGAGTGGTGCTACGGCAGCCCAGAAGTCTCCTCCTCTGTACCTAGAGTGGTGCTGTGGTGGCCCAAAACCCTCCTATGTGTAGATTTTTTTTGATCAAGGCTTGTTGGCTTACTATATGCCCTACGTATCTGTACCTCAAGTTCTTTCCCCCTGCCTGGGAAGTTTTATGCCATCACTTCTGTGAACAGTTTTTTTATGTCATCTTCACTCTCTCCTGTTTCTTCATTGACTCTTATCAGTTTTATGTTATTCTTCTTTGCATCGTCTAGCAGCTGCTGGATTGATTTCTCATGGTCCCTTACAATTTTGAAGCAATTTTTCTTTTCCTGGTTACTAATTGCAATCTTATCTTCTGTATCTGAAATTCTGTCCTCATATTGGCTCATTCTGTTGCATTAACTTTCAATGGAGTTTTTAATCTCCTACAAATCTGTTTGCATCTGTTTTATGGATCCATTTTTTTCCTCTGTTGGGATTCCATCATGTTCCTCAGCTCCTCTGTTTTTTTATCTGTGCCCTCTCTAGATTATTAATCATGTCTTTCCCTGTGGGCACAATCTCTGCTCTTATCTGAGAAATTATTTCTGATTTCATTTTTTCCAGATCCTCTTTTGTTGCCAGTTCAGGGAATCCAGGTGGTTGAGTATCAGATTGTTCCATCTTGTTTCCCTTTGGGGTTCCTTTAGGTGATCTGGGAGTCTGGTTTTGCGACTTATTTACATGTCTTCTCATTTCAATGTGGGCTGCAGGGTGTGTGCTGCTCGTGTCCGTGTGGCTCACCTCCTCGGTGCTGGGGGAGTATGGCAATTCTTAATGCTCCACACCCAGTGTATGTTCATGCCCCTGTGGCCTCCCTAACCCCATTCCCTCCCCCTTCCTGCCCTACTCTTCCCCAGTAACACTTTCCTGAATTTCTGTGGTAATTATGTATGCTATTAATAATTGTTTCTTATTTCCACTTGTGTTTGAATCTGTAGACAAAAGATTGTTTAGTTTTGCATGTTTTTCAACTTTATGTAAATGAAATCACATGTACTTCTCTGCTGGCGTTATTCAGTTTAACATTATGCTTCCTCTCTCCACTGCTGTTGTTTTCAATGGTGAGATCCCAGAGTCCTATTCCTTTCATGGCTCATTTTTCACCCCACTTTCCTTGGCTCCCAGTACTTGAATGACACATCTGTCCTCAAATGCATCCTGATCTTTTGCGTGTCCATGTACCTTGCCTGTGGTCTCTCTGCTGAAGTGTTCTTTCCTTCACCTTCTTCACTTAGTGACTTTCACCTCTTTTAATCCTAAGTGAAATTTACCTTCTCTACCCCCCTCACCAGGCTGCCCCACAAGGTTAGTGCCCTTCATTCATCCTCTTCTATATACATCCTCAGGGGTTTATAGAGTCTTATTAAAGCCGTGTGTCCACCCCACCTGCAGACATGAAACTCCCCTAACAACACTGGAGGGTCCAGAGATCCCCTAAAGCTCAGCCAAGGACTTAGTAACAGCAGGTGACATGCATTCTGTTGTATCAGGGTACTTGTCCTTCCTTTGTCCTGCAGCCTGGGGACACTGAGGATGGTGACTCCTTCACCATTGGTCTCCACGGTCTTAAGAGGGCTCTGACACATGAGTACATGACTATGTTGCTGTCCTTACCTTCAATGGAGAAAACAACTGTTTTTGGCTGTAGGAAACCCAACAGGTGCAATAATTTATAAAATGTGTATACTTAAATTTATAATTTTGGGGCAAGGCAAAAAGCACAGGAGACATGTGCCAAATTCTTGTTTTATCATTCACATTTGCTCTTTTTGTCTTTTTTTGTGTATATAATGTGATACCATTTATTTAAAAATAAAAATTACATATTTGCTTATATATGCATAAAATTTCATGAAAATTACATAAGAAACTGTTAATAGGGGTTATATCTGGGGATGAGTAGTATTGGGGGTAAGATGCCAGAAGGAGACTATGTTTTAATTTTCTGCTCTTTTTATCTTTAGGATGAAGCTCTTGCACCGAGTGTCACAGGTCTGGAAAACAGATGGCTTGACAAGTTGTTCTTATAAATTATTGTCTGTGGAACACAATCCTTTATATATCAACATCACCGTGGATTTCTGGGCTGGTGCATGACCCTGAATCTTTTGGCATTTCAGAAACTGACCGCAACAATTTTGACCTAGAGACTTTCCCTAGTAGCTAGCACATATTGAGAACTTGTTGCAGCCAATTTTTGAACTGAATGTTTCCTTTTTGCATTCTCTTAGCAGAGCTCCTGGTGATATGGAATGTAAAACCACTGTAACAAGACAGGTTTCTTAGTTGTTTTGATCATTTAGGGTTAAATATTGTAATAGGTACTTGAAGGACAGTACAAAAAGGCCACTCAAAAGATACCATGAAGGCTACCTGAAAACTCTGGTTGGAGGGGATTTATTTAAGTTTGAAGTGATGCATTATGAGATAAAAGCTCATAGAAAATGGGTTTGCTGAATGTCTCAGAGAACTGGAATTGTTCTCATCCAAGCAAGAAAGGTACAAAGGCATGTTTCTATTGCTCATTTATCCTGCATGGGATCTGTGAAATGGTGGGTCCTAGGTGAGAAGGCCACAGAAGAGGCCACAGAAGAGTCTGAATTTAGGAATGAAGAGGTGGCAGAAGGACAGGAAGTCAGATGAACTGGCCTCAGTGGCTCTGCTGGTCCTCAGGAGTGGATGCCACCTGCCCAGATGTACCTTCCCATAAGCAACCAGCAGACAGCACATTAGCTGCTAGTTTTTAAAGTTTTTGTACAATAATTTTATACATGTAGTATATGATTTAACAGTTTACAAATTACACAGTAACCAATAATACATCTATAAAGTACCTCTGTAGTAAAATATGAAAAAGCTTCAGGTGCTCAGTCTTGTTTTTTACTGTCATTGGAGGTCACAGATGTATTTATTTCAAGATCCTTTATTTTAAGCAGCTTAAAAGTAGAACAAATGAAATCAAACACTCCCACTCTATTTCATCCTTCTGTTCCTCTCCCTGCTGTTCTGTATGTCTTCCTGCACAGCCAGCTCCAGGAGGTCCCTCTGTCTCTCATTCCCAGGGCGTCTGCAGGTTAGTTCTCTTCATCTTTTATGCCTCCTTCTTTCCCATAATCAACAGTAGGAACAGCAGGGCGACCTCAGGGGTGCACCTGCTTGGATATGGGACAGGCAGGAGTAGGGCCAGCCTTTGAGGCGGCCCAGGGTTGGGAAGCCTTTGATTTGGGATGATGGCGGGGCTGTGGCCCTGACTTGGGCAGTGATAGTGACTTGGGAGAGAAGCCACCAGTCCACTGAGTTTCTTGGGGCATGGGAGAGAGAATCAAAGGAAGGTTACTGGTTTGGAACAGCAGTACACATACTCTTTTTGCTTGGGAGAATGAATGAACACATCAATAAGGTAGGAATGGATGTTCTTAAGCAAGTATTGTAGTGTACGTGAGCCCCAGGAGTCCTCAAGCCACTGCCATTACATGACATCCTGACTATTAAACTTTAACATGAATGGGTACCAGCCAACTGGGGTGAATAACACCTCCTCCCAAACCCAGAGAGGGCAAGGACAGTCTAGAAACACCCAAGAAAGACCACCACCTGCGTGGAGAAGGAGAATTTGAAAGGACGATGCATTTTATAGATATTATGGGTTTACCTAGGGCCTAGCTTGATTTACATTTCATTCAGACCAGGGAGTAAAAGTTGGGTTTTTTTTATTCAGCAAAACAGTACTAATTGTTTTCACATTTTTGGCCCAAACCTCTAAAGGAGTTTCATTCTTAGGAGACTTCCTAATAGGGAGCTTTCCCCCTTCCTTCCTCCTCTTCTGCAGAACTTTTCTCTAGTACTATTCTGCCCCACTCCTTTAATTATCAAGGTGTTAATAGACTGCAACTTGGAGGCAGTGGGTTCTGGTCATGGTTGGGGAGAACAATGGAATAAAATGGTGTGCGCTGAGAATTTGAGGACTCATATTTGAGAACTTGGTTTCTTACTCAGTGGAAATAGAATATAGCTAATGCCATGTGAAAATTCCCTGATTTTGTTTTTTGGTTATTAATAAGTTCTGCATTTAAAAAAATGTTGGAACCCGCTGAACTATGCCTTTTACGTTTCTTCAGATAATTGTTTCAACCAAGATAATGACTTGTGAAACTTCTTGAGGTGGAAGATAATTTTTTAAGATCTTTATGCCACCCTGTGCCACTTGACTAGTGCGGGGAGTCCACCTCAGTGGCTGGCTGGCTGGTGCCTGTGGCCACCTGCTTGCTTGTTGTTTTCACCCTCCTTGTTCTCACCTCACAGCCAGGCTGTGGAGTTTGCTTCAAAGGAACTGAGCTTTTCTCAGTCCCTGCCTTTTGTTCTTTTTTCACAGTCAATTTCAAAAAGAGGCCAAGCATTTTCCATGTTGCAGAGACCCTTATGTGTGCCATGCTTGCTAAGAATTATCTGAATGCAGACTATTTGGACATCACAACCACCTAACACAAAGAGTCTGCTACTTGAAAGTTTTTGTTGCTTTTTTTCTCACTTATGCTAGCACTCATTTTTTATTCATTAATTTTATTGGTACATTTTAGGTATACATTATGCTGACATCAACCAATAAATGCTGGTGGGACTGTGGGGAAAAAGGAACCCTTCTCCACTGCTGGTGGTGCAACCACTGTGGAAATCAGTATGGAGATCCCTCAAAGAACTAGGATAAGAGGTCCCATTTGACCCAGCTATTCCACTGCTGGGTATCTTCCCCAAAGAATTAAAAGAATCATACCACAGTGATATATGTGCACCCATGTTCATAGCACAATTTGTAATAGCTAAAACTTGGAAGCAGTGCAAATGCCCATCAACTGGAGACTGGCTAAAGAAAATGTATGTGTGTGTGTTTTATAAAATGGAGTGCTAGCATTCATTTTTATAGTGCTTTATGGCTTGTGACATGTCTATACACACTTTATGGACACTGTAGACTCTAGAGATAAGAGGGGCAGAGGAGGAAGTGGAGGTCCAGAAGAGGAAGGTCATTGCAGAAATGCCATGACTAGTAAATGGAGGGTCAAGGCCAACTCAGGTCTTCTGACTTCCAGCACAGTATACCACATTGTCTTCATCTGAGCTGCTTCAGTCTTTGAGGGGGTTTTCTTGGGTTGATATCCCTGTCCTAGCTTCTACAGCTTCTGGACCCTAACAAAGTACATTCAGATCATCTGGTTTCTTTCTACTTTTTTTCCAGACTCGCTTCCTACTTAATCTGCCTGTATCCCCTTTGCTTTCACTTAAGTCCTAGTTGGATAATTTTCTTGGGAGCCCCAAAATGCTCTGTGAATGGACTCTTGAGGGAAGTGAATGATGTTTTCTGCCATGAATCCTGGTTCCCTGTAAAGAACCATTAATGTCCTACATGATGAAACATATTGAGGTCCGTGTGTAACTTGTTTTTCACTAAGATATTTTAAATTGTTGCCACTTTCTTGTGTGTGTTTGTGGCTAGTCATCTTGTATCTGCTGAGAGAGTCTGCTGAGAGGGCGTACACAAGGGAGTGGCTCACAGGCTGTATCCCAGAGAGCACACCTCTATAGGTAAATGCTCCATTGTTCTGTTGACAGTTGTTGAGAATTCAAATATCATCCCTGAGTGTCTACATGGAAGAGGGAGAGAGAGAGAGGGAGAGAGGGAGAGGGAGGGAGAAAGAGAGAGAGAGAGAGAGAGAGAGAGAGAGAGAGAGACTGAGACTTGGAAGAGTTGTTGGTGATGGGTAGGGCATAATAATTGAATCCTTGCTCTGTATCATTTTTCCTCCTGTAAAAATCTCAAATTTGAACTTCCTAATAGCCGTGTGTTTGCGTGTGTGTGCATGCTGCAAAGAGAACAGATTCAAGTTAACTTCCCAAAGTTGGTAATAAGAGGAGGTGAGGTTTCAATCAGATCTCTCTTAATGTGAATATTGTGCCAACCCCCTCTGATATCACTCTTCCTCAGCACTCTTCTGCCTAAGCTCAGCCTCATTTACAGAAGCTAGTGGGGCCTGGATGGGAGTGCTCTCCATACCCCAACCAGCTGTCCCCAAGGATCAAGCACATTTTCTTCACTGGGCCACTAGTATCAGAGATGTTTCCACTGCCTCCTAGGGCAGGAGGAAAAGGATTTTCTGGGCTAAGAGCAGCAGGAGTGAAAGGTAAAAGCAAACATAGAGTTCCTACCATTCTACTAGGCAATGGGGTGAGCCAGCATCGTGCTGAAAACATCACCTCGTGTGTGCAGTTCCTGTCTCCTCTACCTCCATTCCCATAAGCTGGGCTCACCTACTGGGAAACCCGTGTTGTTAGACTCATCCAGGACCAATTGTGACACTGGTAAAAACAGGATTGAACATATTTTAAAGCCCTCTTTATTTATCAGAGTAAGCAAGCAAATGCTGAGTTACAAGAACTTCCTCTGGGACCAAAAATGGAAACTCAATCCAGAAGAGAAATATTTTGACAGCAAACAAAAATCTCCATAAATCACCCATTCTAATAGCTGGCTTACACCTTGCTTGTTTGAAAAATGTTTTAAGTGAAGACAATTCAGGGCAAAGACTGAATAAATATACAACAGACTCATTTTGTGTTTCCAAGAACACATACTTTTTTCTTTTCTTGTCTAGTCTTTTTTTTTGTGTGATACGTGGGCTTGAACCCAGGGCCTTAGCATAAAGCTATAGCCCATGCCCTTTTTATTTTTTATTTTGAGAAAAGATCTCCTTAAGTTCTAAATTGCAGCGGCTAGGCTCAAACTTGTGATCTTTCTGCTTTGGCTTCCCAGAGTGCTGAGATTACAGGTGTGGGATGCCATGTCCAGCTCCATATACTTTTAATTCATGGTGAATTGAGAATATTAAACGCAAAGCACTCCGCAAGGTATGAGAGGAGAGGTGAACTATTGTTAATTAAAGACAAGAGGTTGCTCTGGAGAATAAAAGGGTGTGAAGGCAGTATTAAGAGAATTGCTGGAGTCTGATAAGACAGGAGCCATGGAATAAAAGGCTAAAGGTACATTCTGCATTCTTTCCTTTCTTCACTCATCTGGAAAATACTGAGATAAATGGAAGCCTTGGAAGATTTTTATTTTTAGAAAACTTGAGAAATATGGGCAGATCGGCTCTTGAAATGTCTTTATGCCCCCATATAATATATAAATAGGGGTGGGAGTAGTCACCATTTTCCAAATTCTCTCCATCTTTTAATGCACAAAAATGATACAGAATGAAAAATAGCATTCCTGAGAACAGTAAGAGCCGGGGAGCCTAAAGCAGCTCCATGTGCTCTGCCTCGGTGATGTGATGAAGATGTGCATGTTACTGCAGGTACAAATTTAGGAGGAACAGGTTCCAGCACCAAATCCAATCCAGAGTCCCCAGAGGAAGGAGGTACGGTAGTCATACTTTGTGCTTAATATTCAGTTCTGCTCCAGTAGAACATGGTACCTAGGAGAACCCAAAACTAGAATAAAAGGGAAAAAACAAAAGTAAATTTAAAAAATTTTTAAGAAACATCTTCTACTCAAAAAAATGAGGTTAGGTTCATCCAGGCTTAGGTGACACAGCATTTTCTAAGTGTAGCCTTGCCCTAAGCATTATTACACAGCAGATGTGACACTGAGTCCCGTTCCAAAGCTTCACTTGAACTCAGTGTCACTCACAGGCAGCGTCCTTATTCCCCACTTTTCAACCCCAATTCTCATCTGAGGTTCCCCGACTTCTGAGGTTGAGCATCTCAGTTCTGTACTAAACTAAACCCCCTACTCCTACCCTGGAGAAGTTCTTTCCTCTTGCCATCAAGTCTCTTGTGCATTCCCGTTTCTAGTAGATACCATTTTGGGGTAACGTTTTTGGCTGCTGGTATCAAACTTCTCCTCCCAGGGGACAGCTGGTGTGGCACAGCTGCTCTTGAAGGATGCCACGGAACTCAGCATGTCTGACTCAGGCAAGGAGTTGGGATATCTGGGCTGAGTTTCACCTACATGGTGCTTACTTCCAGGGACTTAGCTTTCCTGAGCCTCAGTTCCTGAATCTGTAAAATAAATACACCATCTTCTTTACCTCCCTCAGAGATAGAAGAGTGAACAAGATAATGAAATAATAATGATGGGGTTGGGTCTAAGGTTTACTAGGGGACCTTGTATACATCAGGCACTGTTGCTTCCATACCCTCTGAAGAACCCAAGGCATGGAGATTAGGATCTCACCCGCATAGTAAACAAGAGCTAGGTTCCAATCCAGGCAGTCAGCCTCAGAGTTTACTTCATTAACCACCACAGGAAAGCAGCAGGGAACTGGACATGCCTAGGGCAGCTTCGTAAGTACTGTTCCTTGTAAGATGAGAGACTGGCAGCTACCTACAGAGCTACCCTTGTGGGAATTTAATATTAAAATAATTTGACATAATATCTTGACCATGAAGGAATCTCAGTACCTTTAGTTTCCTTTGCTTCTATCTTTTGAATTTTAAGAGAGGCTTATAATATCTAGAATCCCTGGAAATATCAAGGGATATAATCATTCTGGAGTACTGTACTAAGATACTCAAAAGTCTTTACATGTTTTTCTATCGTTCCCACAAATATAAACAGTAACTTCACAGTTACAGTCTTTCATTCAGCTGGGTGTGGTGGCACACACCTGTAGTCCCAGCACTTGAGAAGCTGAGGCAAGAGGATTGCCATGAGTTCAAGGCCAGGCTGAACTATATAGTGAGACCCTGTCTCAAAAAAAAACCCCTTTCATTCATTTATTCATTCATTAATTCAAAAATTATAGATCACCTACTTAATATCAATGAATATGATATTTCAATGTTGCATAAATCAATCAATCATCATTTGGAAGATCTGCATAGTACAGCGAGCCAACTCATGATATAGAATTATGCATGGATAAAAGATTTATGCAAAGTTCAAGACAAACCAATGTAATGTATCTTAATGTAGCAAAGTATGAAAAGTTCATTAACATACTTTTAGATTCCATTTTACAATTGATTGTAAGAAATGTGTGGATTTTGGTGTAGTATCAGAAGAATATTCATGATTATCTTTAGATAAGGTTATTAAAACATTCCTGATTTTTCAATTATATATCTTTGTGAAGGGTATATTTTCTTCCAACTTGGTCACATATTACAACAGATTGAAGGAGTAATCTGGCTGCCTTCTAGTAAGCCAGATTTTAATGGGATTTGAAACACTACCACTTTTCTCATTTTTTTTTGTTTTGTGAAATAGTTATTTCTCCCACCAAAAATATGTTTTTATGTTAATTTGTAATTGCATTATTTTAAAATGAATTAATAAATATTTAACCTTTTACTTTGTTAATTTCCAATGAGGGTAAATATCAATAGGTACAGGTCATATAAACAAAAGCTTTTTGGAATCCTTCATATATTTTGAGAGTGTCAAGGGGTTCTGACATCAAGAGTTTGGGACTGCTAAGCAAAGGCAATAGTTCTTGGTCCTGACAGCAAACTAGAATAATTTGGGAGAAGAAGAAAGCCTAGGGCCTACCTCAGCTCAACTGAGCAGAATCTCAGAGGTTGAGGTTCAAGTATATTTTTAAAAATAAAGCTCCTCCAGGAGATTTTAATGTGCAGCCAGGGCTGAGAAGCACAGCTCTGGTCTCTTGTTTTATGTGTGTCAGGTAAAGGGGCAGTCAGAAATGATGAGACTGCCAGAGCAGTTCTTCGGGAGGAACTAGGCAGATTTGTGTTAGGCAGGAGCCATCTATAGAGGTCTTTGAGATCTAGTGTCATGAGTTAATGAAATTGGGAGATCTGGAGCATCAGGCTGGAATTGAAGAAGTCCAAGCAAGGGAAAGATGCTGCCCAGCCCCTTGGAGGTCAGTGGGCTCCAGGCAGCCTGAAGAAAGATCAGGTACTGTATTAATTCCCCAGGGAACTAACTCCCCAGGCCTTAAGAGAACCCACTGTCATTGTTTAGGTGCCAGATTAGCATTCAGCTGCAAGATTTTGTGTCTAGATCTTATAGTGTGATTTCGATGACCATGGTAATTTTCAAGTCACCCCTTTTAGAAATAAAACATGTGCAGGGCAGTACTTACAGTCCAGCAGAGAATGGCAAATCCAAACCAGGCAACGCCCCAAGCATGGCGGTTCATTGGCCCAGATATCAGTTCATAGCAGCCCTACGTCACATCCACGATGGCGTGATAGGAACCAGAAAGAAAAGATGTAAGAAATGGGTGAGAGAACAGATCCCTACTTGAGTCAGTAACCTCCAGAGCCCAGTTTCACAACCAGCCTATTTACATATCCCCATGGCAAGGAAGCGTCTATGACTGTTTTGCTAAGGGAACATAAATAATACTGTTGAATAATTACCCACGTCCCACTTATCTTTGTATTTATTACTTAGTCTCACTGAAAAGTGTTAATATTATAGCATAACATATTTTCCATATTAAATATGTGGACAATATGCTCTTTAAAAATTTGAATTTTTCCTTTCCAAAAGGATTCATTGGTGATTGAAAGCAGAGTTATTTTTAAAATTTGTTTTTAAGTAAAAACGCTTCCGGTGCATGAAAATCAAAGGTCTTCTGTTGGCATTTAAAGATAACTATTAACAAAACCCCTACATCATGTCCCCTAATTTCTCATTTCACATCATATTTCAACATATCTGTATTGGATTCTAGTGAGAACTTGAAAAGCCATGGTGTTTATGCAAAAGAGTGATTAGATTTTATTTATTCATTCACACATGACATAACCCAGTAGGTATTTATAGGTAGCATACTCTGACCTAGTCACTAAGCAGAGTCCTGGAGTGATATGTGTGTAAGGCTATGTGCTTGCCATGCAAGCAACCACCACTGGACCCCTGGAATCACAGGGAATAGAATGCTTAGGAAGTGCAACAACCAGGCCTGATTCCACGAACCATGAAATCCAGAGGCAAATCCTCTAGCAGATGTCCTAGGTTGACCATGAAGTATAAGCTCTACCCAGTGGGTACTTGAGGTTCTGACCTTTATGACTCTGTCTTTGTCCCTTGTTTATCTATGTACATGCTCCGTCTTTGCTGTTCCTTGATTTGTCCCTATTTACTCTTTTCCTACACAGAATTTCCATTCACCTAGATTCCAAAATTAAAAACTTCAGAATTATCCTTAACTGTTTATCCCTTATCCAACATCTAACACTTAAGGAAATCCTTTTTGGTCTACTTTAAAGACACAAACTCTTCTTATCACTCCCCAGTACTACCTTGGCCCACTAGGACCTCACTGCAGAATTACTGCAATAGCTTCCTGGTTTCCCACAAGCCTGAATCCACTCACAAACTCTAAATCCATCCTTGTCTTTTAGCCATCCTTCATTCACTCTTGTCTTTTCAGGCTGATCTCCTCTGATGCTCCTCCAAGAGCCAAGAATTTCTCTCTCCAGGGCCTTTGTACTCGCTGCTTCCTTTGTTGAGACACTCCCCCACCCCCACCCCCATTTTCTGGTGTCTCATGTCCTCACTCAATTCAGAACTTTGTAAATATCATCTCAGTGAAGACTTTACTAACAATGTAGAGACAATCTTTTTCCCTATCATAGTCTTCATACTTTACCCTGTTTTACTTATACTCATAGCATCCATTGCTACCTGGAATTACCATGTAATTTTTGGTAATATGTTTATTATCTGTCTCCCATATAGCAAATTTCATTAGGGGAGATTTCATCTTGTTCATTGTTGAATCTATAGAACCTAAAGTAATATCCTGGCACAAGTAAATACCCAATACATATTTACAGAATGAATGGAATGTGATATTAGGTAATGATTACAACAGAATCATCTGTAACACACTTGATGGTTCACAAACCATTTCTATTCTCCTGAAAATCCTGAGAAATGATCATTCATCTATCTATCTATCTATCTATCTATCTATCTATCTATCTATCTATCTATCTATGCCCACTTATGCCTGATGCCAGGTCATTTCGCTGTGACAGACAGAAATAAGTCTTTTACAGCTAAATGGAGCTCACAGATAAAAGCCCATTTTTCATCCTTTCTTATTAGTGAATTTTCATGAAACTAATAATCATTTTAGTGGTACTTTACTTCCTTAGGACCATTATAATATTCTTGAGGTGTAGTGATCAGAATATGTACATAGCATTTCTGAGGTAAGTGGACCATGACATAATATACATCTCCTGCTAAGTAAAATTCTGGTTGACTTCTACCATTACCACACTTCTGATAACGTCACTAATTTTGTTAGTGTTCATGGCTATAGCAGCACATTTGTGGATTGTAGATCTTGAAAAGCTGTACTATGGATGTAAAAAAGAGCCGTTCACTTCTTCATTCATCCACCCACCAAATATTTATTGAGTGCTTGCTTTGTGCTAGGCATTATGCTAAGCACTAAAGACACAGAATTGAGTAATACATAGTCCTTAAGGAGGCTCATAGGAAAAATAACTTGTGAACCAATATAGTTCCGCATGGTGAATATGACAGCAGATGAATAGCAGGAGTTGGTGTGGCATAGTTTGTGGAAAAGCATTGCTGGGCAGAATTAGCTGGACCTGTAAATTGGAAGTGGGAGGACTGGGTTTGGGAGAGTCAGAAAGGGTACAAGACTGTGATGGGGGTGAAGAATGAGTGAGAATGAGGACAGGAATGACAGGGAGTCGGGGACAGAGGCAGGGATTCCAGAGCTCAGGATGCTGGTGGCAGAGTGCAGCTTAGTCACAATGTTTCATGCACGTAGCATAGCTGGCTGGGGGTGGCAGTGGAGCTGGTAAAGACAGGAGGCCAAAGAGCCAACAGGGAAGGCATTCAAAAGGCTGGCAAAGTCAGTGTGGTGGTCCCATGGCAGTGAGAGGAGGAGGATTTGAATCTTTCCTTCAAATTTCATCTCGTTGAACTCGAGAAAAGTTGGCAGTGCTAGGTTTTTCTCCTCATAACTAGAATGTTACATGTACTAGGAAAAATAGTATTTTTGTGAAATGAACTGCCTGAAGGTAGGTGCCATTTTGTCTTTTTATATGAGTACATGTTTGCAGTACTCAATGTTTACATTCCTTGTGTGGAGTTGGTATGTGTCCGTAGCACATCTTAACTCCTTTTCATCTCTGTTGCCTCCTCTCCCTCCCTCCCCCCCATCTCTTTTTCCCCCCTCCATCTCTTGATTCCCTTTCCATCTGAGAAAGATCTCTATCCCTACCTCCTATTTCTTTTATTTTGTTCTTTATTTATATTTTGTGTTTCTCATATAAGAAAAACCATGGAGTATTTAAGCTTGTGTGTCTGATTCATTTCACTTAACATTAAAGTCTCGAGGTGTACCCATTTTCCTACAAATGACTTAAATTTATCCCTCTTTCTGTCAGAGTAGTACTCCATTGTGTGTAAATACCACATTTTCTTTATCCATTCATCTATCAACAGACATGTAGGCTACTTTTTGTCTCTTTCAGAGAGGTGATATGGTTTGTACACAATTATAGCCCAATAAGACTCTTTTGCACACCCCATTTCTGATGTTGAAATAGAGAGCATTTTGTCAGTCACAGGAGTGGTAGTTATAGTTCATACTGGGATTGTGAGCAATGAATTTATTTTTATAGAAGTCTGAGCATAACTGATTCAAACAGTACCAGGATGTGTTGTTGTGAAGCTAAATGAGAGTTGCTTCTCATTTCTCCTCTCTGGGTTCTCCTTTGCTTCTCTTTTCTGGGTTACCACGTGCATCCTAGTCCAGGACCCTGCCAGGCGCAGCACGATGTTCTGCAGTGCAGTACAGTGCAGTGCGGCGCCTGTCACGTGGAGTGTACAGTCCATGTTATTCACTCCAGTTAATCAGTAGGGAGGCACATAGCTGCGCATGCTCACAGAGTTCACTCTTCAGGCTGGACAGGGTGTTTTAGCGTGCAGAGTCCCAGAAGATGACGGCAGAGGCGTGGGAGCTCTCACCTGGGATTTGGGGGACTCTTACCAAGTCCTTACTGGCTTGGAGCCTGCTTTGGAGCCAGACTGCTTGGGTTTAAATCCTGACCACAATTTACCAGTTATGTGACTTTGGACAAGGTATATGGATCACCACCTCACATCTCAGTTCCTCATCTGTAAAATAGGGCTCACACAGGTACCCATTTTTGAGCGTGAAAGGTGTCAGTATAGTTATGGCTCTTGGAACAGTGTCTGGTGTTGGGTAAGAACTTAAATATTTCATGGTGATTGTCACATTATTTTCATCAGCCTGGAATCACTTGTTCAGAGTCTGTCTGTATGTAAACCATCTTTTAAAACATTATTTATTTATTCATGTATTTATTCACAGCCTTGTTTTATTTTTTGTCCTTGTTTTTAAGGGATAATTTTATTTTTATTTATTTTTTAGTTTCTTTTTTATTAGTATGGGTCTGTGACATGTAATAATTACCTTCATCTCAGGGAACTGGTACATGTATGTACTGCACCTCCATCAGTTTTACTGCCCCTTCCCCTTCCTGTCCTCTGTCTCCCCTCAGTCCCAGATCCCCATAGGCTTTGGACACTTTACAAACCATCTTTGACCCACATCACCAACCTAATATTTTATTAGGACTGTCCTGTATTACTACTGAAAAAGAAATGCTGATAAACAATTACTACCTTTATCCTAACCAATTGCCATAGTTTGCAAAGATAAAAAAAGTTATGTAAATAAAATAATCTAAAATACAATATAAATATATAAATATAATATAAATAATATAAAATATAATAATATAAACTAAATATAAAATATTTAATGTAAATATTCCTTGGAATGCCAATTCTAGGTAAACTAAATATAAAATATTGTAACTAATATATAACCAATATATCTAAACTAAATATAAACTAATATATAAACTAAACCTAAATGAACTAAACTATCTAAACTAAACTAACGTATAACTAATATATCTAAACTAGATATAAAATATTTAATGTCAATATTCCTTGGAATGCCAATTCTAGGTATTATACAAAGTATCTTAATTTAAACAGAGTTGGACTTTGGTATATTGTGTTCTGCTGATTTTATTACAATGTAAATTTGCCCATATCAGCTGTAGCTTAGCAGTCACAGTTTACTAACAAAGAAAATAATTAACACAGATTTAGGAAAAAAGATGCAGTACTGAAAACTTATGACCTACAGTTACTGTTATTTTCCTGATAAAGAGTAGAAGAACCCTCTGGCAGGTCTTGGGAGAGGAGGGGGCTCACCTGATTGTAGTAATAACCGGGCACTCCCAGCTTACAAGCCTCCAGGTTCAATGGTTCTTTAAGATTGTTCATAACACAGCACTGCCGAGGCCAGGGGTAGTCCGCATCATTGTTCTCAGTCCGGAAGGCAGACGTGTATTTCTGCCAGTCAGATGGACCATTTACACCACAGCAGTGGTCCTGTCAGTGGATAAGAGATACAAAATTCTCTTTCATGGTTCTTTCTAGAGCCATCAATGTAGCAACTCAGATTTTATAAAGAAAGAAGATCTGGAAAGTTACCAGGTCTGATGTTTACTAAAAAATTCCCCAAACTAGAGCTGAAGATATTGATAACTTATATTTTAGAGTTTGCAAATATTTTTAATTTGTTGCTTTATTAGCCATTAATGAATTTTTTGTAGCTTCGGACATGCTACTTATATTCTCTAAACCTCATTTTCCTTAAAGTGGGGGTAAATATAGTTCCTACTTCACAGAGTTTTTGTAATGATCAAGTAAAATAATATGCTTAATGTGTTGGGTACTATATTAGTCAGCTTTCCCATCACTGGAAAAAAATCCTGACACTACAATTTAAAGGAGAAGAGATTTATTTTGGCTCATGGTTTTCAGAGGATCCAGTCCATGGGTGGTTGCCTCCAAGGCAGAAGGGCATGGCAAAGGAAAGCTGTGGACCCCATGATACCCAGGAAGCAGAGAGAGGAAGAAGAAAGGGGCTGGGATACAAGTATTCCTGAGGTGCCACAGTGACCACCTCCAACAGCATATTCAGGTATGAATTCATCAATGGACTAGTGAGGACAGCACCCCTGTAATCCAATTGTCTTGCAAAAGCCCCACCTCTGAACATGTAAGACTTTGTGTGGGGGGATATTTAAGATTTAAACTAGAACAGATACAATGCCTAGTTCATAGTAAACCCTTGATAAATGTTAATTATTATTACTGCTAGGCTTTTTTTTGCAATACTGGAAATTGAACATACCCTTTTTTATTTTGAGACAGGTTCTTGCTAAGTCACTAAGTTACCCAGGCTAGGCTCAAACTTGTTGCCTACATGTTCAGCCTTCCAGAGTGCTGGGATTACAGGCTTGCCTCCCCATACCCAGCTTAACACTAATATCTTGATACAATAATAAGAGAGAGGTATACTTATTGTAATATTATATATGAGGAAATTTAAAAGCAGAACAAACATTTTAGTGGTGACAAAATTATGAGTATTTCTTGTTTTACTTTTCTATATTTTAAACATTTTTCTAGAGTAATTGCATGTTGTTTTTATATTGTGAGAAAACAAACTGGAAAAAATGGAAAAACCTGGTGGCACTTAATTGTGCCTATACATGGAAAAGGAAAACCAGTTGTCACATAACCGAGATCCTTACACTCTGGGTAGGACCAAAGATAGAAGATAAAACAATTCATTCTTATCACAAATTCTGCTCAAATGTTTCAAGAGAAGAAGTTAAAACTACAGGTGTATCTCAACTTTCAGAATGAATGTATCCAAGCAAACTTAATGATTAAAAACCATCTTTAAATGATGCCCCCTTTTGCCATTGGATTGTAGGAAATATCTAATTAGGAGAATAAACCTTCCTTTCCTCTCTCCCTCCTTCTCTCCCTTCTCCCTCCCTCCCTCCCTCTTCCTTCCTTCCTTCCTTCCTTCCTTCCTTCCTTCCTTCCTTCCTTCCTTTTATCCTTGTGCTAGGGATTGAACCCAAGGCCTCAGCTATGCTAGGCAAGTATTTTTTCATTGAGCTATATCACCAACCCTCATTCTGTGTTTTGACTAGTACATTGTGGGAGAAAATGGTTATGTTTGAGCTAGGGTTATTTCAGACTAGTATTTACATGAGTTGAGAGAACAGGTCCAGAATTGAGCTTTGTAGCAATCCAACATTCAGAGTTTGAAAAAGGGCATAAAACCCAGCAAAGGCAGAAGGAATGGATGGTATGATAAATGCTGATCAGATAGGAAATAAGATGAGGATAGGAACTTGATGGTTGTGTTTGGCAGGATGGAGGTAAATGGTACCTGTGTTAAGGATCACTTCAGTGTAGTGCTGGGGTCAGAAGCTGGTTGCAGTTGGATGGAAGCAGATGAGAGGTATGCACATGGAAACAGCAAGTGTAGGGTATCTCTCTTGAGATTTGTCATGAAATAGAGCAGTAGAACAAAATAGTAGGTGAGTGTTAGAAAGAGTTTTTTGAAAAGGTGTAGAATTTAAGCCATTGTTGTATGCTGATGGGAAGGAGCAATGAATAAGGTAGATCACAGCAGGGAAGATTGTTGGAGCAAAGGAGAGAGAATGCAGAGTGAAAGCTAAGAATTTGTAAAAAGGACAGTACGTTTTATAACAAGAGAAAAGGCAAAGTACAAGAGTGTAGATAGTGTAGTCCAAGGGAGGAAAGACAACAGTGTGGCAGCCATCTGGAGCCAAAGGGCACATAGCGACTTTCCTCATGCCATGGGAAGAAAATAACAGAGTGAGACAGTCAGTGCCACTAAGAGATAGCCAATCTTCTAGTAAGGCCGAGTAAAGAGTCCAGACTATAGAGGTATTTGCTGACGACAGGCTCAGAAGTTGGTGTGGGGCCAGGGAATGGGAGCAGGGGCCAGTTGGGTCATATCAGGGATTACTAAGATACCAGTTTATACACTCAGGGCCACATGGGGCTAATGTTCAGCAAGACTTAGATGTCTGATGGCATTTGAGGTAATGATTGCCAGTTAGAAAAAGTTAGGTGAGTAAATCAAGTCATATTTTCCATGGCTTAGCAGAACTAGCTCATAAGAGATGTGAAAAGGCCCCCAAAAGTTAGGACAGGCAGTGATTGCTATTTGAGTTCACTGTAAGGGTAGAGAAGCCATTGTTCATTTAATATAAGTAAAACTTGAGTTGTAAGAGGTTGAACGTATGTTTAATCTAAATTTCTTGACCATGCCATTATTGCTATAAAGGTAAGCCAATTAACATCATTGCTTGAAATAAAATGAAGATTTAAGGGTCCCACTGAGACATGTCTATAACATCCAGCAGTACCCCTCAGTAGATAGGAGGTATAGACAATCTTGTCTATAGCAAGTCTCTGAAGAAAATCCCCTTGGAGGCATTGGCTTCCCTCCCAACCACATCCTCTGGTTTCCAGTTTCCATGTGACATGGCCTCTCCCCAGGACCCCAGGTCTTACCTGCAGCATGAGCCTGTCCCAGGTTTTGGTGACACCATTGTTTTTCCATTGATCATCATTGGTTGGAGGGCTGTTGTTTTGGTACCTCACCAGCATCTGCTTCAGGAAGAGGTTGGGTGTGAACTACAAGGGGGAGAGGCAAAACAGGAGGGAGATTTAGCACATTAACACCCAGAAAGAGAAAATATTTTTTCTTGTTGTATTGCTAAGGACACTAACATTCTCTTAGAACAAAATAATACTCAGAGGTATCAAGTACCACTTGACTAAGGCTGCTTTTCAGGTTGGCCAAAGTCCCCATGTTGGGAACTGATCCCAATCTTAAAAGAAATCACTTCAAGGTGAAGACATTGTGGGGTGGCTTAGGCTAAGCCACTAATGGCAAACATTTTAGAGCTTTCAATGTTACAAACAGCCCACTGCAGTATGCATGGCATAAGTTCACCACTGCTGAGCAAGGGAGGTGGCAAAAGGAAGAAAAAAAGGTGCTGAACTGTTGGTGAGTCTGGGATGAGAAGAAATGTGGACCAATCCACTGGAAGGCCAGTACCATGCAGAGTGTTGATGAGCATCAGGGTCACCAGCGTGGCCCTGGAGTCAGGCTGTCTGCATTGAGACTTCTCACTCCTTCAGTTGCCAGCTGTGTATCTTTGGGTAAGTTACTTTAAATTTCTATGTCTCATGTTTTCATTTATAAAATGACAAGTGATACTACCTACTTCTTAAGTTTATGAGTATTAAATAGAATTATATAAGTATTATTAATGTGCATATTAACATGCATGGGATATAGTAAGGGCTTGGTACCCATCAGCTATTATATTATTATGATAATGGTGATGATTCCTGTTATAATTTTTGCTTTGTGTGTTTTGAGCATACTCACAAAGTCTCGTTGTGTTGCTGCTGTGATACAAGATGCCACTTCAAAGCCATATACTATAAACATCAGAATGAAATACTGGGAAAGTAACAAATGAGAAAAAAGCATTACATTTACCCCCAAAGAAAGATTTCCCCAAATAATTGCTATGATTTTTCAGCACTTTTATCTAACTACAACCATCCAGCCATTCATGTAATTACTCCACAAACCATCTTTGATCAGCTGCTCGGAATGCAGGCTTGGAGCTAGGCAGCTTAATTCTCTGCCTTTCTTCAGAGTACAAATGGCTATTGACTACACAGCTATCTCATCTGGTATCCTGAATTTCCGTTTTAACTGTGAAAACAGATACAAGAGAATGAACCAATGTGTGTGTGTGTGTGTGTGTGTGTGTGTGCACATGCGCACATGTGAGCACGCTTAGGGCATGCCAGAGAATCTTAGTGTATTACCTGAGATGTAGAGCCTTATAAGTCCCCTCTAGTTGAGAGACATTTTCCTTATCATTTGATGAGTATTTAGGATCATGGGAGTCAGAGAAAGATGAAGCAGAACCTGTTTAACACCGAGTGTCCCTCACTCAGTCTCACCAGAGAGGAGCCTGCAGCCTTGGGCATGCAGCAACTTACTGGCATCCTCCTCTCACAGCCTCTCTAGTGACATGGGCTCAGGGGGATGAGAAGGACTCATGGTGTGCAGGGGTGGTATAGATGTTGTGTGTACATGTAGTGCCTCCACACCACAGGTGCCCTTGTTTCTAGCTGGAAAATATCTGAACAGCAAATGGTCTGTGAATCTGGGTGGGGACTATTGGCAAGAGCTCTCTCTGCCTTTCTCAGCTTTGCACACGTGCTTTTGGTCCCATATTATAGACAGCTAAGTTAGGTAAAAATATTGTAGGCAGTCAGGTAGGCCTGGGCTCTTGACAGCATCAGCACAAAAGATGAAAACACGTTACAACCATGGCCAGAGATGCATCTGTTGGCAACCAGGCCTCAAGATAAAGACGAAATAACTAGACCTGCCTACTTCCCCAAAGGATAAGGTAGGCGGTAATACCTGGCCTAATGAAGTCTAGATAGACATCAGGCACTTCAGTCGGTGACCAAGACCTCTGGACCTATCATTTCCTAGGAAAAGTCTTTGTTCTTTCCACACACACTTGTTATGTGACTTGTTCCCCCATTGGATCACTATTACCTAAGCGACTATACTTGTAACCTTTTTGGCCAATCATAGTTTTAACCTACATTATACACACTTGGTTTTTGCTCTATGAAACTTCCCCTGAAAAGTGGGGTCCTGGCTACCCTTTCAGCACCTGTCCTGCCTCTCAGCTATCCTCTCGAGAAACTTTTCCTACTCTTAATCTCCACTGTTCTTAGAATTCATTCTTCGATTTTAGAGAACACGAAGTCAGCGTATTAGACATCTAACAGGATGGGAGTTATAATATTTCCCTTATATCATATTTAGAGGTTCTGATATCATTTCCTATATCACTCGTGTCCTTCTAGGGAAGGGGAACTGTGGTCAGAACCAGTGAGGGAGAACAAGAGACACTGTCCTCCCTCTTTGGGCACGGGAAGCTCTCCGAGCGGACCCGCTTCTGCCCTCACTACCTGGCCAGAACAAAGCTCTGGCTGTAGGCTCAGGAGACCTTCAGAGACCATGTAACATTTTTTTCCTACATTGGCTGCTGCGTTGCTCCTTACCAAGAGCTTTGCTGGCTTCTCTTACAGAGCCTCGGAATCATTAGTGGTGCTAGGAAGTCAGTGAGGCACAGAGTACAAGTGTTTCTCCTTCAGCTGCCAGGAGAGGACGCTGCTCCTACTCATCCCCTGTCTAGCTCAGTTCTCCAGGCTGTGTCAGGCACACACAGGGTTGGCCCAAAGCACTGCTGGGATGCAGGGAAGGGTGTCTGTAAGGACATCTGCCTCTCATCTCTCTGTTTCACCACCTTCCCAAAGTGGGTACATTTGCCCTAGAACTAATTCACATAAGGAAACAGACAACACAAATGTTCTGCATTCCCTGGGTTCAAAGACAGTGGTTAGATCAAAGGCAAAGTAAACCAATAAGCCCTTTAAGTTGCTGGACTTGTTCTGTAAAAGTGGTTCTCAGGTCCTGCAGCATTTAGGTAGGAGAGTTATTTCAGGGCTAGAGGGGTGTGTGTTTGTGTGTGTGTGTGTGTGTGTGTGTGTGTTCCATCACAATGTGAGAAATGCTGCTCTGGGGGACAGGGCGGGAAGTAGAGGGCTCGGCCCAATATAAAGGTTTCTCAGCACTGCTGGCTGCACGTTTGCTGCCATGTGCAAAAGTAGGGCCTGCTGTGGCTGGGCATCTGTGGCGTGAGGCCAGAGTTGGAGGCCACAGGCAGGTGAGGTGTGACAGGAAGGAGCACACACAGTGGTGTGTATTAAGCTTCCCCAGGGTTTCTGGAAAGCAGTGTGAATGACATGTGGAAGTGCAGGCCATTGTACAAAACCATCAGCCTCAAGATCAAATATCTTCCAAAGCACTAATGATTTCTTTGAAAAGTTCATGTCTAGTGTATTTTATATCCTAACATATCAATGTCTGTTTAATATTAAAATAATACTTTTCTTTTTTGGGGCAGGGTCTTACTATGTATTTCAGGCTGGCCTGAATGCACTGTGTAGCCCAGAGTGGTTTCAAATTTGTGGAAATCCTCCTCCTGCCTCAGCTTCCCGAGTGCTAAGACTATAGGTGTGCTCCACTAAGCCTAACTAAATTAATATCTTAAACTACTTATCATCAAGGAAAAAAATCCAATGAATAAATAAATTCTCCTTATGCCTTTTCTTTGGCCCATGTAATTGCTGGTCATACTTCTTGGGCACATGTAGACATCAGGTAGAGAAGCACAGATCTGGAAAATTCTCAACAGGGTCACCTGTCTCTCCTTTGGCTTCACTGTGTGAGAATCTTCTGGACCTGCAATAGTGGAGGACATCCCTGCCCGCATTTGACAATCTATCTTACTGCAGGAAGTCTCCTCCCTTCTTCCTTCTGAATCTGGATCATCTACCTCCCTAAAAGCTAAAACATTGCAATACATCAAAACTGGTTCAGGGAAGAAACAGCCACAGAGAGTTTTAAAGCCTTACCACTAGGAGAAGTTTCCTGCTGGACTTCATGGTCCCTATAATGGCTAGGACAGACAGGCAGAAGAGGCAGATGCCCACAAACATGCCGATCCAGGCTGCCCCATAGATGTCATCATTGTTGGTGGCTTCAAGTAGGGGATAGAGACTATGCTGGTCAGACACAAAGAAGATGCACTCTGCCATCAGGGCAATGCCACACATCTGGGAGTAAGTCAAGAACAGGCAGTGTCAGGCTGGTGGCCAGGAACACAGCAATGGGAAAGGAGATGGCAATAGGTAGATGAGAGAGATGGTCTCCCTCCCCAGCACAGGCTTCATGCATCTGACAAGCTCCTCATTCCCAGGAAGTCAGACAGGTATTTTCATCTTGTAACCTTCTTCCACATACTTTGTTCTTTGGAGACCTTCTACATGTCTCTCTATGTTGCAATGTGGGAAAAGACCTAGGCAATCTCAGACCATCCATAAATTTTGGTGGGGCATGAACCACTCAGATGGTGACTTCTCGAATGAGGTTCTCTCCCCCTCCCAACTCTACCCCTACTGTTTTTCACCCCCATTCCTGGATTATAATATTTGAAGTGGTTCTGGTCATTGTAATCAGTGAGAGCTGGAAACTTGGTAGTGATCACCTCAATGTCCATGAGTGAAAAATCTTGGCCCAGAAAGGGGATGATTTATCCAGAGCCATGCAGAGTTAGGCAGAGCTGGGGCAAAGGACAGCTCTCTTCATTCTCAAATAAGTGCTTTCTCCTCATTCCCATGCCAATTACAGCTTAGCTTCTGAGCCACCCTCACACCCTGGGACTGGCCTCAAATATGAGAATAAGAAGATGGAGACATCTGCCTCATCAACCTTAGTAACAGAGCCCTCAAATCAAACCAAGGTGAAATCAGAAAGAAGCACTAAAGTGTGTGTGTGTGGCAGGTGTGTTTGGACACTGACCATGGTGGACATGACTCCTTTTAGATTCTTATGTTTTAAGGTTGGAAGGAAATTTCTAATTTTGTCAACCATGGTCTTCTATATTACATAGTTATATATGATTATTTATATAGTTGAATCCTAGTGAGCATAGTACCACCAAATCTCTTAAAGTGAATAAGACGCACAGGGAACTAGTAGCTGTACTGTACTTGCCTTTATACTCTCACTTTTGATTAATCCAAAATTATGCTAATAGGAAGAGCAGAATTTTCTGAAAAAAATTTTATTACTTACACCAACAATCACATGTCCAAAAATCAGCAGGCCTTGAAAGCAGCGAAAAGTGGAATCATCTTTGGCCATCTTCATGTTTTTCCACAGGCTGAAGACACAGTTGAAAAGATTACATTTTAATAGGAACTACTGAAAAACACTGCTACAATTTTCCTAACACTACCAAATCATGCCACTGTATATTGTCTTTTTGTGTCCCAAAGCACCCAAATCAAGGTCATAATCTTTTAGTAGTGGAGGGAGTTTGATTATTGAGCTTAGTAATCGCAGTAGCTTTATAAAGAAGAAAAAGAAAATAAAGCCTTCCTTTAAGGCATGGTACATATTAGAATGCATACATCTGAGATGTGAACTGAGCCCAGCAAGGTCAACAAGAGCATAAAGAATAAAGCTGAGGTGCCCATGGATGGACATGACTGCTGCTTGCAAAGGTCGCGGATATAGCCTCTGGCCAGGGCAAACTGAAAACCGGAGGTTAAGCTTACAGAGTTAGTGATTGGTTGCCACAAACTGGGCTTTGGTTAAAAACCATTATTTTCTGACTTTTTAAAATTTAAAAATATTTGGCAAATAACAGCTCCTTGTCATATGAGAGGGGCAGTAGGGAAAAAGGCTGACACTTAGGTCCTTCTATGTGCTACTCTACCTGGAACTTCACATGCACACGTCAAATTCTTAGGTCCCAACTAGGTAGAAAAAGAAAGAGGGAGAGCATCCATTTTACCGATCAGGAAACTAAAGCTTAAACTGAGTTGGTAAACTCATTTTTCTGGGGTCACAGAAGAAGCACCGGCAGAGTTGGGCTACCACCCTTAGTCCGTGCGACTCTGGGCTCCAGGCACTGCCCTGCAGCTCACATGGGCTCCCAGGATCTATTTACAAGATGTAGTGCCAGATGGAGCTGCACCTGGTCCTCTCACCTCCCTAAGGTGTCCCTAAAGTGAACACAAAGGACAAGTGTTTGGGTCATTTTGGCCTTTGCACTTGAAATCCCATGAGAAAAGCTGTCCATAGCACAACTTTTTTTTTTTTTTTTTGTACTGGGGATCAAACTCAGGACCTTGCACTTGCGAGGTAGGCACCAGAACCACTGAGCTAAATCGCCAGCCCCACCACAACATTTTATTAATTAGCTAATCAATTCATGCCTCTTGCTTTAAATCAAAAGCTATTAAATGATATAATTTGCATTTTGAGTGGTACAAAGACACTGAAGGGAGATTGTTGTAGTCTAGGATTTTGTGCTTTAGTAAAGAAGCTAAGTTATGTTCCCAAGTAGTTGTAATACATGCAGTGAGAATCAAAATACACAGGCATTCTGAGGAGGGAGTTGCATGTAAACCTTGAAGGATGTGTATGATTCTGACCAGTACAGCAGAGCTGAGGATGTGTATGAGGAAAATGAGGTGGGAGACATTCCAGGGAAAGACAAAGGAAAGATTCTGGAGGAGAGGCTGGGGATTTAGCTCAGTGGTTCTGGCACCTGAGGAGCAAGCGCAAGGTCCCGAGTTCGAGCCTCACTACCAAAAAAAAAAAAAAAAGGGTTCTGGAGGAGAGATAGGAGATTGAGGTGCCTGAGAGACAGCAAATTAGCCAGGTTGGGTGGACTCTTAGTCTGTGGAGGAGCTGGGTGGCAGGCAAGTCTTTTATTTGATTCAGATCTTGCTAAATTTTAACTCCATAGTAGGACTATAATGTATGCATGAACTTTCCAAATGGTTTAGACATCTGTAAATAATTTCTCTTTCCTGTTACCATGAAAACTAGAGGAATTTAAAGAGCAATAACTTATGAGTGTTTTGGGCTTAGAATTTGGCACATAGTAGACACTCCATCAACGCTTGCTGATTGAATGGAAGAGTCAGGGCTGTTGTTATAATACCCCTGTGGGGAGTGCCTGCTTAGAAATGCCATTCATTTCTGTGCAGTGATTGTTGCACTTAGTGGAACCTCAATGCACAAACTCTCTCAAGGGAGAATCTTACTCGTGCAGCCAGACCCCTGCAAATTCATTATTGGTATGCACAGACATTGTCTCTGACCTGTTGGGTTACTCTCTAAACTGGACACACAAATTAACAGCATGTGAAAGATAGAAGTTCAGATAACAGCAATATAGAGAGTAAAAGGCAAATACTCTATCTGGAGAGGCCAAATTCAGCCCCATTTTGATGGGTATTGTACTCACAGTACTCCTATTTGTCATGTAGCAAACTATTTGTAGTGACTAGCTGAGCTAAAAGTACAGAAAGACAATTTCCTCTTTTCAAGGAATTTAAAGTGTGATTATAGCAACATGGATTTAAAGCAAAAATAACTATAATAGAATAAAGGGGAAAAGTAGGATGAGTATGGAGAAAAAGGAAAGGGTCAGGCAGACCACAAATGAGGGGATTTTTTTAGTCTGAAGAATTCCTGAGAAAGAGGTCTGGCTCCCAAGACTCAATTATGTCCCATAAAATATATACTGTGCCAAAGATGACTCTGCCACACAGAATTTCAAAAAGGGGGAAAGGGCAAATGAAAACTCCTTGGGAGAATCAGAATTAGGGAGGAAACATGTAGACAAGAACAGGAGAAAAGAAGAAAGGAGGCAAATAGGAGTCTGGGCGAGATGAAAGCAAGCTAACCAGAGAGATGGCAGGAAATGCCAGGAGGGAGCCCAGCTGAGGGTTGGCTCGTGGGAAGGAGGAGCACTGACAAGTAAGACATGCTGAACATGTTGGCTACTAAATATTCTTTTTTCTTTTTCACTTCTCTCCCCTTAGACCTTTGGCATCTGGGACACATAGTAATTTAGAAAGCCACTGTTGTCTTCCCAAACAACAAACGAGTGATGGGTGCTGCATTTTAATGTTTATGTAGGATGCTCTCAGCTCTATATTAGGCCCTTTATGTTCATCTTCTCAACAGACAGGAGAGATGGGCATTTTTAGCAAAATCTGTATTTTTTTCCTGTTACTTCTGTGACGAAATGCCACAAACTTAGTGGCTTAAAAACGTCACAAATGTATTAGCTTACGGATCTGGAGGGCAGAAGTGTGAAGCAAGTTTCCCTGGGCTGTCTCACAGTGCAGGCGGGGCTGGGTTCCTTCTAAAGGATCTAGGGGAAGAATCTCTTCTCTTCCAATTTTCAGATGAAGAAAATGAGGTTGGAGAGATTAGACTGCCCCAGGCAAAACTGCTGGAAGATGTAGAAGCTGAGATTCAAACCCAGGTCTGCCTGGCTTCAGGTATTTACTGCAGTCTGTAATATCCTGCCATACTGCTAATGCTTTCAGTAGAAAAATAAACATTTGGCTTGCTTTTTTTTTTTTTTGCTAACCTTGGAAAAAGAGAGAACAAATAAATATATTTTCCCTGCTTAGAAGACTCTGTGTTTGCAAAGGTCAGAAACACTGGGCCTTTCTTTACTCACTTCTCCAGGTTCTTGCCTCCTGGGCCTGTTGACACCACACCACATCCAGTGTTGCAGCCACACTGGAAACCTGTCTCAGTGTATCTGGAACCTGTACCTCTTCCTCCTGCTCCCCGGGGCCAGAGTTCTTGAAAGTAAAAGGTGCCATGTGAAGTCAATGGCAAGGTCAGCATTTCATAGCTTCTTCTTGGCCACTTGTATTTTAGACTAGGTTGACTTTTGGTGAAATCCCCAAAGAGCAACAGATGTCAACAGGGAGCTGGTGTAAGTTTCCTCCAGCTCACAATGTAGTCTAGTGGCTGTTGTCTACTGTGGAGTATTTTGGACTTGGCATCAGTATGCCAGTCCTCACCTCCTAGTCTTGTCCTGTCTTTACTGTGTTACTCTGGCCAGTGGCTGTGGGCATGGGGTGGGCATGCTGATATAAACATGAGTCATTTGTAGGAAAATGGATGCACCTTGACAGCATAGTGTTAAGTGAAATAAATCAAACACACAAGCTTACATAGCACATAATTTCTCTTATATGAGAAGCCCAAAGTATCAATAATTTAAAGAGTAAAATAAAGGATGGATAACAGGAATCAGAGAGATAGATTTTTACAAATAAGAGATTTAGAGATGGAGGGAGAGGGAGGGTGGCAGAAGGAAAAGGGAAATAAAAAGTATTAAGATGTGTTATGTACATGTACCAACTCCCCATGATGAATGTATTTGCTATGTACTGCAAATATTTACTAATAAGTTTCATTTTAAAAGCGAGTCTACTTCCTCATTTATAAAGTGGGTAGAATGCAACCTGTTTGATGGGATTGTTATGATCACCAAGTGAGATACAGAATGCAGAATTAGTTGGTAAACAGTAAGATTGTTTACAAACACTGAAAGTTACTAATAAGAGCCAAGGGATACGCAGGAAGAGCAGGGGATTGTGTTATGGTTCTACTTTAGGCACCAGAGACCCTTGGAGGACAGGACAGAGGTACTTGTGGTGACTGGTCTCACAGCCAAGCTTCTTCCCATCCACTTTCTCTTTACTCCCTGCCCACAGGCTGCTCTGCCAGAGGGGCCTGGAGGCCTTACACAGAGTAACCCATTTGTACTTATTTTCCATAGTTGAATTCATGGGTAAATTTTTTTCTATGGAAAAGATAAAGTGCTTCCCAGTTGTGCCAGGGTGCGGCCAGAGGCAGGTACCGAGCTGCACATCCCTGTGGGAGGGCCTCTGTACATTCCAGTCCACATTCTTGAACAGCTAGCTCCTGCCTTGGGACTCATCTCTCTGGCTTTGGTCTCTGCTCCAGACTTTGAGAGGATGCAGAGATGATATCTGAGGTTTTTCTTTGTGCTGGGTCTGTTTCTTCCGACACAGAAATGACTCAGGGAGAACTCTATTCTATTCCTCTTTTGCATTGTTCTTTGCTTGGTATCAACCTATGAAGGCCATGCATTTTATTACAAGAGGCTCCAAGACAGATGGCACTGGGAGCCTGTTATGTTTGTTTTTCTAGGTCCAAAATCTTAGAGTGCCTGCCTGACATGTTGTAAGCATTCAGTTATTTTGCTAAGTAAAAATATAGAGTAAATGTTTATTTGAATGAATGAATAGATGACTAAACGAGTGGATGAACACACAAAGTAGTGATTTTGCCTAGAGCTTATTGTAGAAC